TTGCATGACTAAATTTATCAATGACAATAAACTCCAAGACTAAATGCTTTACAGATGTGGAGCTAATATATCATTGTATTACAGCAGAAGAAAAAATAAATTATTGCAAAACGGGAAATAAATTTAGAGTAGAAAAAGTTAAAGGCACCAAATTAGTAGTAGTCATAGTAGTGATAAATATTTACAAGTTATAGAATGTGGAATTATTTTGAATATTTTTTGTTCAGAGCCACTTACATACATTATCATAAAATCATATGGATGTGCATTTTTATCACATTGCAATTACTTTCACCCTCAACAAATCAATGAATGTGTGATAGTATGGTATAGAATAGAAATACTATATAATCAAAGTAGTTTTAAAAGACTCTGATTTTATGCTTAGACAAGAAGCTTATTACTAATTCTGATTTTATTTTAAAAACTATACAATAGCTCTAAATACAAACCTTGAACCATTACAGAAAAAAATCATAGGAATCAACTGTCATGAACAAAGTAATATAGCATGATTCTGCAAATCAGTAAAGGATTATTGAAATAAGAGTATTGTCTTCAAAACCAAGAAAATTATCAAACCAGAGTAAATTTACAAATTAAATCAATGAGATTTTATGTCATCATAATTAATCTCTAATAAACTATATTAATCAAGGGTAGTGTTGCTGTACTAATGGAGTTAGTACATATAACATTGCTTTGTTTTTCTGAATGCCTATCGAAATAAATATACAATAAATATGCAACATATTTAGCAATTAAGATACTAGCAAAGCTTACACCTATAGGATTTGATCTGGAGTTCATCTTTTTTTTTATGATGGTCGTCCTAGTCAGTAAACTCAGAATATACCAGGTATTTATTTTATCAGTGATAAAAATAGATAGTGTTGTATTTCAATATTTTTTAATACCTCAATCATCTTGATACATTTGGTGAAAAGTAAGATGAAGTCTACTTCTAATCATTTAGTGACATACTATTAATCTAACATTGAAATGGGAAGTACTTCATAGACTACAGTACTGGTTTTTGAATATAAATCAAAATGTGTTTTTTTAAAAAACCAAAAAGCTAAAATTGTAGCATTCTCATTCCTAGGAACATGAATTATTAGTCAGAATGGCATGCATGGAGAATATTTTAAACAAAGTTCCCTTTTACACATCAAGAAGGCAGAGCAGCTGCTTAATCGTCTCAGTTGGATTCAACTGCCAGTTCACTTCATTAATTTATGTGAACCTCACTTAGACCATCCCAAAATGTACAATTGCTAAAATCTGTTCATACAAATCAAGGTTGAGAAATTCCCTCTTGACACCCAATCACCAGAAAATAGCCAGAATCTACAAATCCTCTAACAGCAATTATCCTTAATTCTGTTGTGTGTATCAACTATCATTTCAACAAAAGTTGAAACAAGAGTTATTTTCCCTTCAGTATTCCAACTGGGTCAATTCACTATAGATTGTGGAAAGTTTAGCTAAATGTATCATCCAATATAATCTTAAATAGATGAGTATATTTTAATTAATAGTAATGTTATTTTTCAGGGGCTATGATAACCATCTGGAACAAATTGGGCCTACTTTTTTCCCATTTCTCAATCATTTATCATACAATGATATATCTGTCTGCAACATATAACATATAATCAGTCTGTAATATCTTGGAAATGGCTCAGGCACCCATACATATATTAGATACATTTATTTCATCATAAAATTTCTCTTTGAAAATTCTAATTTCTGTTTAAATATCCATGAAAAAAATATTTATTATCACAATTGTCTTAATGACTTATCACTGGATAATTTTTTTCAATTATGTAAAATGTTGAAATGTTTGAAACGTTATGTTCCATTCACTGAAGCCTCTTCTCTGAGGGAAAATAAAGCAGAAGTAAACAGCCAGTATCTTCATAAAAATATTTGCTCCCAGGTCTTCCATAAACTTTTTATCACCAATTTCTGCAGCTGGAAAAATGTCACACCATGTAATCTGATTAACCAAAACCTCATTCTTTGTAGCAAGTATTTGTCACTTTCAATCAATCTGTCAGCTGAATTATTCATCTACTGAAAAAAGCATTTCCTTTTAATTTTATTTATTTAATATTTTCCTTGAGCAACTGTTTAAAATATTCTAGGAGTAGTTTCCTTTAACTTTATTTCTTGTAAAATAAATGGTCAAAATAGGAAACAGTTTAAAAGTTTAATACTGAAATGTACTGTTAAACTGAAATTCTGTACTTACCTGGAAATAAACACTCAATGGGATTTCCTTCCAAACAGAAATCATTGTTCTGTACTGTACAGATTTGGTCTTTTTCATATGCCAACAACCTTTTGAAAACTGTGTTTATGTAATTATAGTATCATAAATAGGATTATAAATTAGCAAATGTATATTATTATTGGCTTCATTTATTCTACCAGTTCAATTAATATAAAACAGTTATGAGAAACTGTTTAAATTTGTCAGAATACTCTGCATTAAGTGGCTGTGTATAAAAGGGTATACATTTAGCAATATGCTTAATCTACATTCCAAACCATTAAAGACAAGTGAAATGAATGTATTTTATTTTCAAGAAAATATTGTTTACAACTATGATGCAAGCAATCTGCCAAAATGAATCCATCATATTTGAATAATAAGGAATATAATTTTCCCTATTTGCATCTAACCATGGTAATCATGATTGTTTTTGCCATGTCCTATATTACTGCCTTCATAAGCACTCCAAGACAAGTATATTAAACTGGTATTCCCCCCTCATTAAAACATTATCCAAGGGCAGCATCATGGTATAGTATAAATCTGTTAGGTTTTGTCACTAATTATCTTGGGCGGAAGTGACTTAACAAAGGCAGGAAAAAGGATTGGGATCAGCAGTGGAGACAGATTTCACATCTGTGTAATGTGAATTCACAATATCCCCAAATTTCACAGAATAACTCAAGGATGGAGAGCATAAAAGCCCAAGAACATGTGGAGGTAGCCTTTAATAACCCCTAAGAGAGGAACAGAAAGACTACTGTATAGACTCCAATGAGTATTTACTGAATATGACTTGCACCCGAGTAATGTCTATGATCCTACACACACTAGTTCTTCTAAATATATTTCATGTGCATATGTACATTTTAGCACTGTATCTTTAAATTAATTACACCAACAATTACATATGTTGGCTGGATTATTTCAGAAAAGTTCCGTTCAAAATGAAGTTGGCACATTTATACCTTAATGAGAGATTCCCAGAAGAATAGTAAGAATAGAGTAAGCCAAAATTTAAGTAACAGAACACAGAGCACATCTGTATTTTCTAAGCACAATCTCCACAGATGTTGTAAATTATTCTTTTTTTCGTTGTCTCTCTGAAAAGTGTCAAGTTTAAGAATAAAGTTCAGCAAAGACTGGAAATTTTCACAGCAAGAGTTGTCAACAATTACACTCAACAGCACTGGACTTGTTGGATGAATGAATCATTTAGAGAAAAAATGATACAATCAATTACATTCAACACTGTTTTAAATAAACTATACATCAGGCTGTAAGAATAAAGTTTATACAGTATAAACCAGACTGCTTTGCATTTTAAAACACTCAAACTTATTTGTTATTGTTAATCAGATCAGTTTGCTAATCTATAGTCCATGCTTAATGGCATTTGCATATTATTCCTATTGGTTTCAATGATGACATCTAAGTAAAATTTGCATACAAACAAACCTATCAATTTTACTTTGAGTAAAATAGATACTTTGAATCAGGAATTGACTCAAAATATATATTTTAACATTGCATTAGATTGGAGGCAGGGAATAGAGATTTTTGTAACTGAACAATTGAAATTGGCATCTAATGTACAGAGAGAATAGAACTTATTTCTCAAATCCAGCTAAACCTTTACTATTCAGTGTATTTGTGGCAATATTTTTATGGTCTGAAATTATCCTCAGTCGGGTATAAAGATATTTCAATTGATATAAGCCATAGCATGGGAATATTATTTGAAAACCACTGGGCAATGTACTGTATAATTTACTTTCCAGTATACATTACTCTCTCTCAAAACAAATAAAATGCCATCAAAAGTTTCCAAAGAAAGAAAATTCAGGTTTCTATTGTACAAGCTTTTAGAAAAAAAGAGCTGCATTCAAGAATCAGACCTTCTCCTTCCAGGATGATTTCTATTTATTAAAGGTAATGTCAGAATATAATCTATTCCTGCCTTCTTTCACATCAAAAGATCCCCAAAGTATTGCTTCCTGTCACTCTTCTTTTGCAGGAGGAAAAAGGTGTGGGATTTCCAAGAGTACACAAAATATCTGTTAGGCATCCCCACCATAGGTGAGTTTGTCTTTCTCAACTGGCAAGTTAACATTTGAGGAATCGAACTTTTAAGCTGGATCCTTAAACTAGCCTTTACAGTTTTTGGAGGAAAAAGAATCCTATAACTCTTTCAGCCCTTCCTTCTGTCCAAACCCATTCCATTTCCAAAAAGAGCTAATTTCCTTTAACAATATAAGGTACATTGCTCGGTTTGAGAAACGCAGTAACTAGTATATTATGCTCCTTTCCTCGGTTCAGGGGTCTGCAGCCAGGTCCTTGACAGAGGGGTTTCCTGCCCATAATCCCCCCACCTCCCAACAAATCCCGCAAAAGGCGGTGTAAACATTTAAGGGATCCGCAGCCTTGTAAGCCCTCCGTTTTGCAACCTGGTTTCTCTGAAACCCAATAAAACTTAATCCACAGATTGCAGAAAATCAGATCCCACCCGAGGGCTTCCCTTTCGCAGCTCTTTCTAGAGTCAGAATCTACCTGGGCTGCATCGGAGACCCCGAAAAACCGGGAGAAGAGGTTTCTGACCATGCACAAAGCGCCGCCCCTGCCCTGTAACGTTTCCTCGATCGGGAGTCTCCAGGCAGAATTAACCCCTTCCCCTCACACACACACACATGCAAACACCCCGTCCTCTCTTACTCACAAGGAGACGGTGCGGTTGGGCAGCAAGGAGGGGTGCAAAGTTTCCGCCAAGTCGCCTCCGCTGCAGACAACTTTGATGCGGAGCGTTTGCCGGCCGGGTCCCTTGGAGCGCTCGGCGGTGCAGAGACAGCTGTCAACCACCAAGTCCGGGCAATTCCTGTTGCCTTTGGAAAGCCCCACCGCAGCGGCCGCCACCAAGCAGAGGGAGTAGCACAGCCCGTGCATGGCGAGGGGGCGGCGGCGGCGGCGGCGACGGCGCCTCGATTCTCCTGCGTTTTTGGCGGCTCTAAGTAAGAGGCGGCGGCGGCGGCAGCGCCGCTCATGGCATAGTCGGCGCGCACACGGCAGCCCTCTGGCAGCGAAAGGGGGTCGCCGTCCAGCCTTCACGCCTCTTCCTCCTCCTCCTCCTCCTCCTCCGCAGTGGGCCACAGGCGGGAGGCGCTCCCTCTAGCCTCGGCACCGCCGCTTCCCGCCGCCCAATCTCTCTCTGGGCGGACCACACGGAGAAAGAGAGAGCGAGAGAGCTTTTGCGCTGCCGCGGATGAAATGCCTCCCACCTTTCGGCCGTTGGAGGAATTATTTTTCTTAAAAATTTTTCCCCCTCAAGTGTCTTTCTCTGGGGCGCGCGGGGGGGGGGGGGGGGGGGGGGTGTGCCGGCCCAAAAAGAGCGGTGGGGGCCCTGGGGGGCCTCCCTGCCCCCCCCCCCCCCCCCACTCTCGAACAGGAGACCTTATCCCACCTCAGACAAGGGTGTCGTCGTCCCAAAAAGACCCCCCCTTTCCCTTCAGGAGACAGCAGCCGAGTCTAGCCGGCTCAAGAGAGAGTCCTGAGATAAACCGCGCGCCTTCCTTGGGGTGGGGGGGGGGGCAGCAGAATCCCCGAAGGGTGTCTCTCCCCCCCACACACAAAGCACCGTGGCTTTTCCTGCTGAGTGAAGAGCCACCTTCACCAGTGTTTCATAGAATTTTTTATTGGCCAAGTGTGATTGGACACACAAGGAATTTATCTTGGTGCATGTGCTCTCAGTGTACATAAAAGAAAAGATAACGTTCATCAAGAATCATAAGGTACTACACAATGATAGTTATAGGATACAAATAAGCAATCAGGAAACAATATATCAACATAAATCGGAAGGATGCAAGCAACAGTTACAGTCATACAGTCGTAAGTGGAAGGAGATGGGTGGTGGGAATGATGAGAAGATTAATAGTAGTGCAGACTTAGTAACTAGTTTGACAGTGTTGAGGGAATTATTTATTTAGCAGAGTGATGGCGTTTTGGAAAAAAATATTCTTGTGTCTAGTTGTTCTGGGGTGCAGTGCTCTATAGCCTCGTTTTGAGGGTAGGAGTTGAAACAGTTTATGTCCAGGATGCGAGGGGTCTGTAAATATTTTCACAGCCCTCTTTTTGACTCGTGCAGTATACAGGTCCTCAATGGAAGACAGGTTGGTAGCAATTGTTTTTTCTGCAGTTCTAATTATCCTCTGAAGTCTGTGTCTGTCTTGTTGGGTTGCAGAGCCAAACCAGACAGTTATAGAGGTGCAGATGACAGACTCAATAATTCCTCTGTAGAACTGGATCAGCAGCTCCTTGCGATATGGCAGAACCAAGAAATTTGAAGGTCTCTGCTGTTGATACTGTGTTGTCTAGTATTGTGAGAGGTAGAAGTATGGAAGGGTTTCTCCTAAAGTCTACCACCGTTTCTACGGTTTTGAGTGTGTTCAGTTCCAGATTGTTCCGGTCACACCACGAGGCTAGTTGTTCAACCTCCTGTCTGTATGCGGATTCATTATTGTCTCGAATGAGACTGACTATGGTTGTGACAATAAACCAGGGTTGACTGCCAGGTGGGCCCAAATCTAGATGAAATGGGCTTCCTCTCCACTGTGGTTCTGACTGCCTGAGATCCAGCTATAATGTTATGGATACATAGAGGGAAGCCTTCTACACATGTGCAGGCTCCTCATAAAACCCTCACTTTTAATTGCATGGGGGAGATTGCATTGATTGGACTAATTTCCTGCAATAAACTGCCTTTAATTTCTTCATTTGACCAGCATCCTTAAGTGTATATGGAATACCCCAAAGTTTTCAGGAGGCAAGTGGACTTTCTTGTTTTTCTTTTGAAGACGTTTCACTTCTCCTCCAATAAGCTTCTTCAGCTCTGGCAGGATTAGGAAGGAATATAAATTAATATTAGGAAGGAATATAAATCCTTCCATTCCCCACTATCCTGTCAGAGCTGAAGAAGCTTCTTGGATGAGAAGTGAAACGTCTTCAAAAGAAAATTTGGATCGGATGGGTGAGATCATCCGATGATACGGGGTGAGGTATCAGCAATACGCTGATGATACCCAGCTGTATATCTCTACCCCGTGTCAATTCAGTGAGGTGGTGGATGGATGGGAGTCAACAGACTCAGACTTAACCCAGACAAGACCGAGTGGCTGTGGGTATTGCCTCCTAAAGACTATGTTGATTGTCCATCCTTGGTTCTGGGGGAGGAGAAATTGTCCCCCTCAGAAGGGCCTCGCAATTTGGGTGTCCTCCTTTTTTTTTTTTTTTTACTTTTTTTTTTTTTTTGAATTTGTATACCGCCCTTCTCCCTGAGGACTCAGGGCGGTGAACAGCCAAGTAAAAACATCAAATACAAATATTAAAATACAATTAAAAGTATATATAAATTTGGCCCCATTAATTAAAAACGATAAACAAAACACTTAAAAACACTTAAAAAATTAGGCCAGCCCGGCTTGCTGGAAAAGGAAGGTTTTAAGGGCACGGCGGAAGGCACTGAGGTCTTGGATTCTCCTTATCCCTGGAGGCAATTGATTCCTAGACTCCTAGTCTAGACTCACAGCTAAGATTAGAGCAACATCTGTCAGCTGTGGCTAGGGGGACCTTTGCACAGGTTCGCCTGGTGCACCAATTGCGACCCTACTTGGATCAGAAGGCTCTCCTCACAGTCACTCATGCCCTTGTCACCTCACGGTTAAATTATTGCAACGCGCTCTACATGGGGCTACACTTGAAAAGTGTTCGGAGACTACAGTTGGTCCAGAACGCAGCCGCGCGAGCTGTCATGGATGCACCTAGGTACACCCACATTACACCAATTGTCTGTGAGCTGCACTGGCTCCCTATTGGTCTCCGGTCACAATTCAAGATGTTGGTTATTACCTTTAAAGCCCTATATGGCTCAGGGCCAGGTTTTCTTCGAGACCGCCTTCTATCACATAGCTCCCAGCAACCGGTAAGATCCCACAGAGTTGGTCTCCTCCGGGTCCCATCAGCTAAACAATGCCGGCTGGCGGGCCTGCGGGGCAGGGCCATCTCTGTGGCTGCCCCAGCTCTCTGGAACCAGTTACCTCCTGAAATCTGGACCATCCCCACCCTATTGGCCTTCCGAAAAGCGGTGAAGACCTGGCTTTTCCGGCAGGCCTAGGGCCATTGATCTCACTGTTGCGATCTGGCGAGATCCGACCATGAATGGTGTGGATGGGTTTTAATTGTTTTTAATGTTTTAATTTTTAATGTTTTTATATATGGTTTTTAAATGCATTGTAAGCCACCTTGAGTCTTCGGAGAAAGGCGGCATACAAGTTGAACAAATAAACAAATAAATAAAAAACAAAAAAGTCCGGTTGCCTCCTGAAAAAGCACCTTTGGGACAAACATGACCTGGATGACTGAGAATCTCTATAGACTTTGTACATGGAATAGGAAACTTATCAATGACACACAAGGTCAGTTCACCTTTGGATAATTGTGAATGGGATCTATTTTCCTTGCTATTAGACTTCTTAGCCATGCAGTATAGAAGAAGAGTACAGGTAGTCCTTGATGTACAACCACAATTCAGCCCAACATTCCTTGTTGCTAAGTGAAACATTTGTAATGTGAGTTTTACTCCACTTTATGATTTTTATTGCCACAGTTGCTAAGTCAATCACTGCAGTTGTTGATTTATTAACATGGTTGTTAAATGAATCTGGCTTCCCCATTGACTTTGCTTCTCGGAAAGTCACAAAAGGTGATCACATGATTCCAGAACACTGCAACTGTCAAAAATATATGCCAGCTGCCAAGCATCTAAATCAGTGGTGAAATCAAAAAAAAATTTCTACTGGTTCTGTGGGTGTGGCATGGTGAGCGTGGCATGGCATAATGGGTGTGGCATGGCAGGGAAAGGATACTGCAAAATCCCCATTCCCTCCCCACTCCTGGTGGAAGGATATTGCAAAATCTCCATTCCCACTCCACTCTGGGGCCAGCCAGAAGTGGTATTTGCGAGTTCCCCGAACTGCTCAAAATTTCCACTACTGATTCTCCAAAACCTGTCAGAACCTGCTGGATTTCACCCCGATCTAAATTCTGATCATGTTATGATGGGGATGCTGCAGTGGTCGTAACTATGAAAAACGGTCATAAGTCACTTTTCAGTGCCATCGTAAGTTCAAACAGTAACTAAGTGAACTGTTGTAAATTGAGGACTATCTGTACTGACAGCACTTTAGTGCCATATCCTTTCTAGTCCAGTCATGGGAGGATGAGATCTAAGCTTCAAAATTTCACAAAACCACCAGCTGTTAGGAAAGAGATTCAGGACCCTGTTTGTTTTCTATCTAGAAGAGGTCTAGATTTTTGCAACCAAGATCTGGTATTTCTGTTTATTCATTATTAAATAATTATAGCAGCCTCGTTACTACTATACAGTTTCCTTTTTCCTCCCCCAAGTCACATAATCATGCTTCTTGTTTATTTCTTAGTTAGCTTAGAAAAAGTGGTTTCTAAAACTACCTACTCAAGAGACTCTACGCAGCATCCAAAGAGGAATAAAAACACATCCATAACAATAAAAAGCAGGACAAAAATAATAACTACATTAGGGGTGTACCAAATTTTTAAATCTTGTCACATTCCAAAAGGTTTGGAATTACTGCAGCCCATAATTTCTGTTGACCTAATCTTGGGTAGAAAAATAAAACCTGTAGATGCAAAGCACCCATGACAAGATCAATGTTTGGTCTGGTGGATTCATAGCTTAGAATAATGTTTCTTAAAAGTCCTAGGACTCCTTGATTCCCCCAAGAACTTCTCAGAGGTTTTCAATCAAAATTATATGCTGCCTATATTGAAAAATACTGTATTACAATATTATATTAAAATCCCATTTTACAATTGTGAGAAGGAGTGGTGGCAGTGAATATGTCAGTTTTAATTATTAATATTGATAAATATAACACACACAAACGAAATGTCTTTTGGGGTGTTCATAATTTTTAAAAGTGGGAAAGGATCCTGAGTGGGAAAAAAGTTTATGAAATGTTTAGAAAGCACT